ATAAGTTGTTTTGTTTTTCCATATTCATAATAACAACTATTCGAGTACTTTTCTTCAAATAAAATATTTTATTAGCATTTACCTAGGTGCTTAATTAAGTTCTAAATTTTTTTGAAACTTTCTTCATAGATGCTTGCTATTTTTTTCTCTTTTAAATTAGATTTAAAAATTAAAAGTGGGTAACCTTATAGAAAAAATTCTAAAAGAACAAATATATTTGATAATATCATCTTTCTATTTTGTTCAGCAACATATCTATACTAGTATAATCGCAGCACTTTTTGTGACGGGTGGGTAAAAAAGCTTTCGGGTATATCGGATATCCGACCCATTTTAAAAATTCCTTCTCCAAAAATTTGTTGGATCGGGTTATATTTAACCCAACTCATACACCGGATATTCCATATTTAATAATTTAGATTTTTAGAAGATTTGATTAAGATTTATAATTATGATTCTCCTATCATCTTTGTTTAATTTGTTTTTAACTGTTTTGAATCATCATATAATACATAAAGTAAAAAAAAAATCAATTTTTTTTCTGCATATACTGTGATTCGAAATTTTAAAAACGGACATATATTATCCAATTGACGAAAATGTATGTTCAACGTTCTACATCGATTAAAATATTTAGACAATGATTCAGAATCATATCATAAATAAGAACATTAATAAAATAAATGAGTTTTTTGGCGGGATGGGTTTGGCGGGACGGGTTTTTGAATCAACAATAATAAAAAGATTAAAATATCATTAATCTGCCGCTTCAATACGGATTTAATCCTTATTTTTTTTAATACAAATCACAGGACGGGTTAAGAAATTACGGAACGGGTTATATTTCGGAAATGATTTATATGGCGGACGAATTTGAATCAATATTTATATACCGCTTTAATACGGGTTAAATCCTCAGTTTATTAATAATTATCTCGTGGACTCGTGGTATACCGTTACTTAATAACAATTGTAAACTATAATATAAATAAATATGTTATAAGGAGATACAATTTACAAAATATTTTTATACTAACTTTAAAATCAAATCATCCCGCGGTGTACCGCGGGTTAAAATCTAGTATATATATGTATCTATATATATATTTATGCGGGTTGACATACTCAATAAATATATTTTAAGCATATTAAATGTCATCCCAAATATATATTAGTAGCTTTTTGTTATCTCTTGATAAAAACTTTTAAATTTTTAGTTTTCTGAAAATATGTTTTAGTTATATACCGGCATTTACCTAATTACTCTTTTTAACCCATTTTGTCTTTAATGCTTGCTATTTTTTATAGAGTAGATTTATAAAACAGAAGTGAGTAAATTATTTTTCAAAAAAGTGAAATATAAATATATTTGATAAAATAAATTCCAATGTCCCAATGGATAAGGCGCTGGTCTACGAAACCAGAGACTCTGGGTTCGATCCCCAGTGGAGTCGTTTGATTTAATTTTTTTCTCGCTTATGTAATGTCCAAGCGGACTGCTTAGCCCGTTCTGCTAGAATTTTACTTTCTGAAGTTACTTTTGTAAACTCTACTCCTCCTAATTGGGCAACCAATCAAGAGAATACTTTTTAATTAATGTCTGGTTGACAAAAAAAAAATATTTGATAAAAAAAAATCCAATCAACAACATATATTATGCGGATTTAAATCAATATGCTACTTGTCATAACCAAATCTTCTCTTTAGTAAATTTAGATTTAGTAGAGCTTTATATTAATGATAGCAAAAAGAAAGAGTGTAAAAATAGCTCTTATATATTAATTTTATTAATAAAACCCTATATAAAAGCAATATGATCTCAATGCACAAATCCGAAAAACATAAACAAACTTCGAAAAATAGCTAGTGATACCTTAAAAAATGCAGAGCAAGAAAAATTTACATATATTCACTGCCATAACTATTGTTCTTTTGTTTGCAATGGCAGGCAAGTTGATTCACAAATGCATAAACCTCATACACTAAATGTTCTGATATTTATTAGTTTATTTTCTTGATTTAAATCGTAGAACCTTAGGGTTTCTATATATGATGATTGCACATCAATATATATTGATCTGGATGATATCTTTTACAGCTCAAACAAATGCTATTGTTGTATATGACGCTGACTGTTTTCACCAGTCATCGTGTACAAAAGAATGTGGAAAACTTTGCTTAAGAAAGGGGTATACCTAGGGGTGTCAAAATGGTCAACTCAACCCAACTCAACTCATTACCCAATGAGTTTGAAGTTAAATGAGTTCATGGGTTGACTCAACTCATTTCACATTATGTGAAAAATATATTAAAACCAAATATTTATGACTATGGTAATTATATATGTGCATATCAAACTAAAAAGAATTTAATATGGGCATATGGTAGGGGCATATCAAACTAAAAACAACTAAAATAATTAAATATTTATCATTTGATTAATTTGAAAATTAGAATTTTGTCAGCAAGCACCTTTATTTTTTTTTCGTTAAAAAGAGTCAACCTATCAATTTTCCATCGGGTCTCCACGTAAAACAAACTATATTGCGGTTTAATATTTTTGTATAAGTAAACATCTTAAAAGTATTGTTCAAACTTTATATGGATAAACCTTCTATTGATAATATATGCATAAAATATTTCCACATACAGTAAAACCTCTATAAATTAATAATGTTGGGACTAGCAAATTTTATTAATTTAGAGAGGTTTTAATTTATCGATAAATTAATAATTATTAATTTATAGAGAGATTTTACTAATTTTGTAATTTCTTAAAAACATTTCTATCTAAAAATAATTTTTTTCTTTATAAGTAATATCTTTTAAAAACTAATTACAAGTAGAGAAGCAATTATTAAGTTTAAAAAAACAACACAAACATTTTTTGAATAATAGAGTCATATTTTATTAAATATTTTACATAGAATATTTTAAATATATATCATAGTAATTCAAATATGACATATATAAATTTATATCATATATAAATATTGATAAGTTTATACAATTATTAATTTATGATATCGATGGAACCATATGTTTATATGAGATTTTCAAAAAAATTATTATCTTATTAATTTATCGATTTATGTCATATTTTATATTGATCCCAACTCGGGACCGGAAGAATTTATTAATTTAGAGAGGTTATTAATTTATAGAGTATTAATTTATAGAGGTTTTACTGTATAATCAATCTACTTGAATCTATATGTGTATAATCAATCTACTTTCAAAGCGTTAATCATTTATATCTACCAATCTAATGAGTCAACTCTCACATCCATCCAACTAAACAATAAAACATATGATAAAAATCTGATTCGATTTGTACACAAGAACATCAGAACTATACTTTCAAAGGTTATGGCATCAATCTCGTTTACGCTAGTTCAAGATAATAGATGCATCACTTTCGTGGTTCTTTTATTCCTAAGATCAATCACTAAGTGACCAGCAAATCAATAGTCAATAATAAGAACAAGCAAAGAACGAAGAACTTTTGTGAAGGAAAACAATTCTAAATCCAAGCATCTAAGTTAATCAAATTCAAGAGGTCTCCTTTCATAAGCCCTAAAAACCCAACAATAAAGTTACTCAATCATATGATCAATGAACATGCAGGAAACATTGTGTAGGAATGCATATTCATAATCATAAATAAAAGGAAATAGAATATAGCGGGTTCATAAACATCTCTATATCGAAGTACAAAGAATATAGCGGGTTCATAAACATCTCTAAATCTAAAAGTGTTTTTGGATTTGTTTTTTGTTCAGAGTTTTGGAAGATGTTCTCTCATGAAGTTTGTGTCGAAAACCTTATTAAAAATGAGTATATATAATGTCTTGGGGCTTCAGAGTTGGGTTAGGGTTTTTTCAAAGTTGAAAAAGGAAAAAGAGGAGGATTGTATGAAATGTCACCCTAGTAACAGGGACGGTGCCTCTAGCCGCAGGTTCATGTTTTTTTTGTCATGTCTCCTTTCTATGGTCACTTCATACGCGAGGTTGCTGGAAATGTTTTCATTAAACTATCTATAACTTTTGAACCGTTAAAGAGAATGACTCAGGACTACTTCTGGATGAAAGCTCACTCTCCTAGATCTCTTGTGCTTCATAAATCATTTAAATCGGTCGTCGGGAAGTATAACTTAAAACTAATCTCGCAAATCCTTTGTGTGAACTAAGTCATTGGATTTGATCTCACTGACACTACCAGACCACAAAAATTAAACCATGCATTTGTGGATTAATACTCTCCAGTAAAAATTGCTCACATGATTTACTGCGCTAAATATCGGCATATTTATTATCTATGAGATACCCAATAGAAATACACGTAAAGGTAATCCAATAAAATCGTACGTTAAATGTCTTCCAAAACTTTTACAAGGAGCTTTTTGTTATTTCTTAATAACAGCTTTCCAATTTGCCATTTTCTTAAAGAAATCTGATTTCTTGGCATTTACCTAATTATTTTAACTCATATGGATCTTCTTTCATTAGTTCTTTCTATCTTTAATTTTAGTAGATTATTAGTTCTTTCTATCTTGTTCTCATATATATTATATATTAGATTTGTAAAATAAATTTTGTGCAGTTCTTTATCTGAAATCTGAAATACTATATTTTAAAGATTATTTAACAAAATAGTATATTAAATATTACCAAATTTTCTATTAATAGTTTTTTTTATATCAATTTTTCATTTTTTAATGTTCTTAAATAAAATTTTATTTACTGACATTTACATAATTTAGGCATTTTTAAACCCATGCTGATCTTCTTCCTTTAATTGTTTTTTTGAAAAAAGATCTTGTTCCTTTAATGCTTGTTCTTTTTTTACTTTTGTACATTGAGATTTACTTGGATATGTTAATAATATCAGAAAATAGAACACAAATTTAGCTCATTGATTTATTTTATTTGAAAAAATCAAAACCTATATAAGAGCAATTTGATCTCAATAGATACTGTACATCTAAAAAGAGGGAGAGAGAAAAAATTTCATACTTTGAGAAATAGTGGTAACAATAGCTATTGATACCTCAAAAACAATGCAAAACAAGAAACAATCACATATATTCATTGCCATAACAATTGTTCTCTTGTTTGCGATGGCATGTAAGTCGATTTACAAACCCATAAACCTTATACACAAACTATATTGATTTCTAGTAGGGTATTTTCTAGATATAAACCATATTATCTTAGATTTTTAAATGACTTATTATTGTACATCATTCAGCAAAATACACCAACTTGAACAAAAGTAATTTATTTGGAAATTTTCTATTTTGATTTATCATACTAGATTTTTATGATATTTTTTTCAGATAAAATAAACGCTATTGACGTTCATGACGCCGTTTGTTTTCGGTCAGAGTGTACAAGCGTATGTGATACGATTTGCTTAAGCAAAGGCTATAAAAATGGATGGTATTGTGGAACATTTAGACTGCACACTGGATGTTGTTGTCTAAAAAAGAAAGAACTCAACCAAATAATATATCCATCAAAAAACTAAATATCCATCTTGACTTTCTTCTTTGTTTGAAATTTTTAATGTTATGGTATATTGGTATTGATAAATTTTACATTATGATGTGAAGAAACATATCTTAAAATTTATCTTCTAGTTTTATAAATGAGCTACATGCAGTTAGATTGTGGTAACTATATATGGGCATATCATACTAAGAAATTTTTTAAAATATTATTTATCTTCCTATTATGCGGAAAATAGAATTCTATCAGCAAACAAATTTACCATCGATTTTATGTCTCCAGGTAAAACAAATTACCACAACCAAACGAAATTTGAACTTCGTAAGTCGTCACCAAATAATATTTCTATTGAAAAATATGGATAAAAGTCTTCTCACTAATGACGTTAAAAAAACAAAAAAAGTCTTCTCACTAATAAAAACTATATAGCAGTGTATATTACCCACGTCTAGTAATGCCCAACATAATTTTTCCATATGTTAAAATATTATATCAATATGTTGTAGTATTATATAATGATTATTTGATAAACAACGTATGAATTGAGATCATGGAAAGGATGACTTATTGTTCGAGATCAAATTCATGGAGACAAAATTTATATCAAACACTTACTTGGATAAGTTTAGAGGCATTAACACAATTATGTGAATACAACATGAGAAATATGTAACAACTGCTATACCATTCACGTTCATTGTTTTCTTGAATAGCCTTCGATAAAAAAGAAGAATCTCTTGTTTTTGCAGAGATTTTCGTTTTATGACCCCATCTATAGAATTTGGACCTTTCAACAAGATAGTCTATTAATACCACATTTTAAAACGATCTATAAACTAAACCCACAATAACTTGTCAATTTTCTATTACTTATAGTTATATGTCATCCCTGATAGGCTGATACATCAGTTTATTTAATCGTTTGGTAGATCATACAATAAAACCAAACTAAAACTGTTCTTATTCCCAACAACAAGAGAGATACAATTTGAATTACAACTTGGATATAACTTTCTTCAACTCGTCCGGAGCATCTTTAACATGGTCTGGTATAGGTAAACCGCAGAAGAGGGTAACCCGCGATGTTGATACCATTATCTTGTTGTCCGTTTTCTCGGTTTTCTTGGTTTTCCATAACCGGACCTCCCACACCTAGTTAGATACAAATTTGTGTTAAGCCTCTCGTTTATTTAAACTAAAAAGAAATTTTTAGTACATTCAAATCAACACATAACAACTCGTGTCACTTTCACATTTTGGGTCTTTAATCTACGATAATGTTTATTCATTAAATAAATAAAAATATTTTGCGTTGGTTTTGTCAAATGCATGCTAACAAAATCAAAGTACCCGACAACTTGGTACAACACCTGCTTTTGCTTGCCGGAATAGTTTACAAGTCAAACTCATTTACATATATTTTTTTTCCAATTTTCATTTTAGGTGAAATAATTAAGATTTCACAAAAATAAGGTTCACAATTTATATATATAAACCAAAAATTGTAAAACATCTTTAGTAATTTTTTTTTTGTTGAAAACATCTTTAGTAATTGCATCAATCACATGTTTAATTTCAATTTTTAAAAATTTACCTGGTCATAAGAAAAATTGGTTTGATAAAAAAAATAAACATGATGGATAAACATTAATTTGTCACTTTTACCAATTAATACGTGAAAAATAATCTTAATGTTATCTTTCGAAATGCATAACTTTTTTTTTTGACGGCTGCAAATTTTTTTTTCAATATTTATATATTCTTTAAGACTTTAATTAAATATATATTAAAATTTTTTTTTTTTTTGACATAAATTGTCTAAACATATATAGCTGTGTATATTTGTAGTCATGACCAAAAGCTAACCGTAACCGTATTTCGGATCGTAACCAGACTGTTTCTCAACTGAAACCGAACCGTAACCGTATAAAACGTTTAATAACCGTAACCGTTAACCGTAAAAATAGATTAGTTACGGTTAAAAATATACTAATCGTAACCGTTAATTAACCGTAAACGTATCAAAACCGTTAGTTAACCGTACAGTCGGTTAACCGCATAGCTAACCGTGCAGTTAAAACCTAAAATACATAATTATTTCACTAAAACAGTGTCTTAAATGGTTCAATATGTCCACTACTAAATTAAACCACTCCACTAGTCCACTTCCACAAATCAAATCATAAATAATTTACTACTCATTTTTCATAAATCAAATCATAAATAATTTACAAGTTATTATTTCTACACCTGTAATCGTTTTTCTCATAACATCATTTCTATAGTATTGTTTGGAATACGTATTGTCAATTAAACAATATTTCAATCATTATAATTATTACCATTGATTTAGTTATTCGTTAGTTTACTTACCAGAACAAAAAAGCTAATTAAATATAAATATTAAAGTACATAATCACATATATTATATATTGTAAAATAAATATTATTTGATATATCATCATTAAATTTTTTATTCTAAAGATTAAAAATACCTAAATTTTTTCTTTGATATTAACCGTATCGTAATAATTAAATAACCGTAACCGTATTTAACCGTAACCGTTGTAACCGTAACCGTATTTAACTGTAACCGTTTTAACCGTATATATAACGGTTAAAGATACGGTTCTAGAAATTTTATAACCGTAACCGCAATAACCGTAACGGTGGTCATGCCTATATATGTGTATGATCAGTATATGTATAGGTTACCTGAATATTTTTGCCGACGGAAACTGGAAAAGATTCGGCGAAGACGATATCGCCGAGAGCAGCAGGTCGGAGGTGGTGAATTGAGAGATGGATTCCAGCGACGCGTTTATAACCGGAGGCGATTCCGGCGCCGAGACTGGCGAGTCCCTCAGCGATCAGAGCCGATACGCCGCCGTGCAAGACTTTGAACGGCTGGCAACATTTTTCAGTTACGGTGAGGTGGCCGGCGACTCTGGTGGCGGAGAGCTCTTCAAACACAAATCCTAAGACTTTAAGCGGCGGATCAATGATAAATTCCGGCGATTTTGGATCCATTCTTAGATTTTACCGATCGATCAAAGCAATTTTTTTTTGATTCGGTTACGTCTGATACTCTTATTTGTTTGTTTATTGAATTAACGTCAAAAAATTGAAAGAGGAGAAGAGTTTTTATTGGGCTAATGGGTTTATTGACAAAAGGCCTTATTGGGGCTTTAGTACGAAGCCGCTCGCTAGGATTTGATTACCATGTGACAATCTTTGGATGTTGTTAGTTAAATCATAGAATTTTAATTTAATTTAAGCATAATTTGTTATTTAATCAATGAATATAGATTTTGCATTAAATTTAAACTGTTATTTAATCTGATAATTCAATGAAATCTCCAATCATTTATTAAAATTTGGTGTTATTCAACAATTAATAAACTTTGAATTTTTTAATATATTAAGTGAAAATTTTAAATCTTGAAGATTATTTTGAGATTTGACTTTAAATAATTGATCCAATAAAAATCCCTTATTTGTTTGATTCCTCGAAGTCTTGCTAATACCCGACGGTCGACGGATAAAACAACTAGTTGGTGACAAGAAATATATCATGTTGTTTTTAAAGAATTAAAAGACATATCATTTTTCTTTGTCAAAGAACTAAACTAAACGGTTAATATGGAAAGATAGGAATACAAAAGTTTTCAAGGGACTACAATCCGAGTCCACAAATATTTTAAATTACGCTTGGAGTGAAAAATAAATATGGGAAGAAACTCAATTAGACCCGATTGAATCTAGTTTTATTAGGGATACTTTGGATACTCTAATTCAATCTATAAAATGTGGGATGATGGATCATGGAAATCGTCAGATCCAACTAAGGGTTTAGGATGGTGGTGTTTTCAAGGAAATGACGATATAATTTTGATTGGTGCAATGTATCTTCGAAGGGATCCCTCTCTCCTTCACTCGGAGCTAGAAGTTTTAATCTGGGCGATGAAGAATATCCTTTCAAGCAAGATTAATTGTCAGGCGTTTGAAACAGATTTTTCAGAATTAGTCTCGATGGTAAAATCTCTTGAAGAATGGCCCGCTTTCTCCAATCTTCTAGAAGATCTTGGATTGCTATGTGTCTCCTTTCCTCTTTTCTCGCTTTCTTCCATTTCACGTTTATGTAATTCTAAGGCGGATTTTTAGCAAAATTCTCTAGACTTTATTTTCTCAAGTTACTTTTGTTTAGCAAGATCCTATAGACTTTTATTTCTGAAGTTACTTTTGTAAAGTTTTTTCCTCCTAATTAGGCAACCAATCATTGAGTTAGTTTTTAATTAATGTTTGGTTGAAAAAAAACTAAACTAAACGTAGACACTGGGATTTTAAGCTAATTTGATATACATAGTTCAAAGCTAACACATAACAATAGCTAATAATAAACAATTTTCACTTTAATATTAGATTCATATTTTCTTCTTCTTTTCTAATTTCTATGTAATGTACATTGTCACAAATGTATTAACTTAAGCTTTGGGGAATAAATGGTTCAATTCAAGGTTATTTCTGTCAAATAATTTGAAGTGTTAGTAGAATATGTTATTTAAACATATCAGTGGGACAAATTAAGTTACCTACTAAATTGCCCATATACAGTATATCCATGCCGAAACATATAAAAGATGTTTGGTTAATTTTTTTATTCATATAAAACCTTACACATATAAAGTTAAGAATTAATTATCAATTAATGAGGGGCTTGTATCAGAAGAATCTTGAGATTCAATTATTCAAATCTAACTTTGCAGCAATAAGCACCGGTTTTTGAGCGAACGTCCATGCTTATACAAGCCCCTCCTTTGTATCCTCTAGATTTGCAAGATGCATTGCATGTCCTTGTGTTTTTACATTTCCCCAGTAGACATGGTATCATTTGCCCTGTTTAGTTCATAAACAAACATATTGACATGATTTTAGATACAAAATGATAAAAACAAAATAAAAAATTGAGTATTACACATTTTGTTTCTGATATTTATCCTATTTTAATACTAATTTTACAAGCATGAGTAGACATGATATCTTTTTTTTTCTTTGTCAACCACACATTTATTTAGAAAATCACTCCATGATTGCTAGCCCGGAGGAGACGAGTTTACAAATCTCCTTCAGACTGGACTACCAATCATGGAGTGATTTTCTAAATTAATATGTGGTTGACAAAAAAAAATGATAATATACAAAGGAAAACACAAACACATTGATTTTTGTATCTAGAGACTTTGACTTAAATTAATATTCCAAATTTTTATTTGGAAATTTCAACTTAAAGATTCACCATGATATGTAGAATAATGATTAAATTTTGATTTTAAAATTCTTTCTAATTTAGAAACCTGAAATCAGTGGCAAAAGGATGAGAAAAAACACCATTAACGAAAATAAGAAACAAGATGAAAATTTATTTGTCGCCATAATTTCAACAACTTGGGATATACTTCAATCTCACTTGAAGAAAAATTAAAGAGAAGGAAGGTTGAAAATTAATTTGAATATGGATAGTTAGCACACATAAACATATATATATATATATATATATATGGATAAAAGCTCCACATGATTCATTAATGTAGGATCTGTATCTTATCAAAAAAAATGTAGGATCTGTACCGTCGATTTGGTTTACCGTTTACATAATCATTTTGATATATGCATTTTTGCTGACCAAAAAAAAAAACTATATACTTTTAAAAAATATTAAATTCATTATAATTTATAAATCTTATTTTATGGTATAAAGCTATTTGAGGGTTTACTAAATAAATTAATGCTTGACTGTTTGATATACAAATTGTATTCTAATTTTCAATATAAAAAATACTTTCAACTTTACTTTAAATTTAATATATATATATATATATATATATATTATTTTCACCTTTTCTCTAATTTTTTTTTATCAAACACCTTTTCTTAAATTTATGATATTCAGATACTTATCAAAAAAGTGATTGTATTGGTCTTGTATATAGAGAATTAAATTTATTTTTTCATATTTTGTAATAAATGATATGTAAAAGATATATTTTCAAAAAGAATTTCTATTATTTGTATTGTAAGTGAACTGTGTATTATATTTTCTAGTTTACTACTCTTTCATGTAAAATTAAAATAAATTGCGTTTGGTATTTATAATCTATATATAACTTTTCTAAAACAATGGTTGTTTTATATCCTTTTATAACTTCAACCAACGTTCTAGACTTTTAGTAAGGAGCATACTATCATCCACACGAAATTTTAATTACACGTAACTTAGCAAAACAACCAAATAATAGATGATTTATTTAAAGCACGAGGAGTTAAAAAGAAACAAAAGTAGGAAATTAGCAAACATTAATGAACGATAAAAAATAAGTCGACTAGAGAGAAGAAAGCATACCACTCCACAAGAAAAGAGGTTATTTTAGTCAGATTCAAACACTTCATACTGAAATGTACATCTTAAGGTTTCTGGTTATGCATGAAAGCGTGAAATACTTCATTGCTGCTTCCGATGTTTCAATTGTATTGTCTCACAAAATATCTAGAAAACAAAAAATTGCTAGAAAATGACTTTTACAAAATATATATATTTTATCGTTTGCCTATTTGCTCTAAAGACTTATCGTGCTACTGGAGGAATATGAGAAATCTCCATAGCGTGAGTCTCCCATGCTTTTACATTCTTTCCAAGCATGAGCTATAATATATCTTGTGATTCATAAGCATAAACTCTCTCTTTTTTTTTTGGATTTTCAAAATAAACTATATGATCCATGAAAATTCATTTACTTTCAGATTGAGTTAATCTCTTTAGGTTGTCTTCAAAAAGAAAGTCAATTATCAAAAAAAATAAAATAAAGAAAGTTAAGCAGAAGAAAAAGAGTATGCAAATATTTCTTTTGTTTTAAAAAATATATATTATTAATTAGGACCCAACCCAAAATGGGCTTGAACTTAAAAATTACAAAGAAACAAAGTTACAAAACGGAAAGAAATTTCGACACAGGAAAACGCGGTTGGATCTGGGATGTGGTCAGAAGCAGCGAATCTATTCTACCAACACTGTCGAATACAAGGCCCACTACTTTGTGGCTAAAACGCCGAATCTAGATCCTTGATCGGAGTATTTAACTTAAAAGAAAGAAGAAGAAGATGATTTACAGTCATAATCTGGAAGGGCTTTTCATAGGAAATATTTTATTTTTTGACAACGGTGAATCTTTCATACTTTTGTTTTTTTTTTGTTTGTTCAAATCATACTTTTGTTTTTATGGCCGCATACTTAGCTCTAGTAAATCAAATACCTCCCTAATACTATGGGCAATCCAGCACCAAGACTTAAATTACATACTTCCCGACTTTTGTAATGTGCCTGACATAATTAACTCCTTTCTCTAACATTGGATTGGACGGGTACCACAAATGCTACACAATGTAGACAAAAATATTCACTGTTGTTACCAATATTATTTATTATAATTGTATAAGTCTTTTTTGGTCTAATGGCTGACCAAAGATAAATTAATACTTTTATACCAGATATGTGGTTCGATTCTCAATTAGTATAATTTCTTGCAGATTATTGGTATAAAGATTATCGAAAGTCCTGAGTATCGCATGTAGAGCCGTTCGTTGTGGTCTCGAGTTTTGCAATTAGATCATGTCGATCGCGGATGTCGTACGTATAGAACCGTCTGTTGTAGATCCGAGTATTGCAGAGAGATGAGTGTTGTGGAATTGTTATTCGTGAGAATTTTTTATAATAATTGTATATGCCACATGTATTTGAAAATCATCATATAATGATTAACTTAAAAAAAATCTCTAATGATGATGTAATAGACAGAAAAAAGACGGAAAAAATAAATCTACCATAATCTTGTATTATGTATTATCATTAAATTATCAAATCAATTATAATTTTATTTTACTTGCTACTATAAAAGTTACTTATAAGAGAAAATAAAATTTAAATGATCCTAATGTCTTCTCCAAATTCACCTAAACTCATCAAAATCATTTAAAACTAAACAGAAAAAACTTATATGATTTAGCAAAAAAATATAGTCTAGTAATTTGTGCTAGTGTCTTCATTGTGTCACCACCAAGATTCAAATCCGCATATTACATATTGTTTTTTTGATGAATGGGCATATTACATATTGTTGATAAAACAAAAAAAATATATATATATATAAAAATCAATTATTTATTTCTCATTTAACACTTAATCGTTTTTTTTTTTTATTATTATTGTATTTGTATGGCAAGAGTGAGATATAAATAAATTATATGATTATAACTAACATGAATATCATTCACTTGCTTTACTAATATATAAGATCTGGTGTTTGCAGCGTTATGAACTTACGAATGATTATCCATAATTATAGATTCCACATCGAAACATATATAAATCAAGACATTGCATACCGAAAGATATTTGAATATATTTTTTAGTCATATCAAAAAGTACATACATATCTAGTGATGTACTAATTATTAATATCATTAAATTCGAAAGAATCTTGAGATTTGAAATTAGGTTTACAACAACAAGCACCGGTGGGTGTGTCTATGCTCATGCGTACACAAGCCCCTCCTTGGTATCCTTTTGATTTGCAGGGTTCATTGCACTCCGATGAGTTTGTACATACCCCCTCTAAACATGGTATCATTTGTCCTGTTTAGTTTATAAACAAACAAATTCAACGACTTTAAAATAAAAATTGATTAATTTCAATAAACGACTATTTTCTTACTAGTGCACATTTTTTTCTTCTGATTTCGATTTGATTTTAAACACTAATTTTAAAACCATGACTAGTTAGTTTAAAATGAAATATTCGTTTTAATCTAATTGCACTGGTGATCTAAAAGTTGCGACCTTTAAATTTTAAAAATAACCTGCAAAAATGACCTTTTGTCGTAGTGGAGTAAACATATTTTCACGTAAAAGTAAATATTGCGATCTTTAAATTTTAAAAATAAACTGCAAAAGTGACCTTTTGTCGTAGTGGAGTAAAAATATTTTCACGTAAAATTAAATATACAACTTAAAAACTTTAATTTTTTGATAGTTTATGCTTTACACCCATGAGATAATTAAAAACTTCAACAAAAAAATTACTGTAGGTTTTGTTTTTCTTAGAAATACACGGTAACTTTAATAATATATTCTGTTAACTTTATAAAATATCATATCACCGATTACTCCGAAACAAGTCACCTTATTAAAAGTACATAAGAAACATTTTAAAGTAAAATTATTTATCATAACATTAGTAACCAAATTTTAATAGATGATAGATAGGTTACCTGAAATCATTGGCAACAAAATAGCAGCAAACACCATCAACGAAAGCAACACAATAGATGAAAATTTGTTTGTTGCCATTGTGTATGTTAGTAAGTACCTCTTAAAATAAATTTGGATCTCACTTTGGAAAAAAAATTTAGAGAGAAGCAAGTTTCAAAATTAATGTTAGAAGATATTATTATACCATAGGAACATGGATAGTTAGAATATATAGATAAAAACTATTAGGTATGTTATAATTTAAATCTTATTTTATGGTAAAAATTGTTCGAGGGAAAGCTTAAGGATTAAGCTTCACTGTATGATACAAAAAATTGTTGACTTTTTAAAAAGAAAATTTTCAACATTTTTTAAAACAGATAAATATATATAGATTTATAACCTTTTTAACATTTTCTTCAATTTATGATATTAAGAAACTTACTCATAAATGATTGTGTTGATATATATGTCTATATGTATAATAGGTCTTCCACATTTGTAAAGAATTATTTAATTTGTATGAGAATAAAGAGATATATTTCCATAAAAAATAGTATTTTTTTTGTTGAAATTCATCAACCAAACTTAGACTACAAAAAACAATCTGAAAATTTGAGTTGACAAAAGAAAAAAAAAACGAAAACATGAATCTATATTCATTATTTATCTGGTCAATAATTTCATTTTAATTTTATTTGGTTAATTTATATAATTGGTCTTGGTTAAAGGGTTTGCTACTTCTTTTTTTTTTTAATTAAACATTTGTATCTAATTGATATCCCCTATACAAACTATTGAGTTATAGAGAACAAAGTGAAGGTCAACTAATTTTTTGCCCTTCTGGGCAACATCGAAAAAATGGGTACAAAGCCACAGTTATGACCGTGAGTATAATTGGCAAGTGAGTCACAGTTATGACCACCTCAAATCTGACCAACCATTAAATGATCGTGTATAGCAAAAGACACATGAAAATGATCGTGCTTTTCCCCTAGTATTTTCTTTTATTATTTGCATTTACATGGAAAATATTATTTTTTTAAATATCACATAAGAACAACATTTTGAAATATTCAAAAGTATATATATATATATATATATATATATATATATATATATATTGTTGCTCAGCTGTCTTTAGTCGGGAATATCTTATGAAGTAACAAAAACATTAAATACAACTACAATTTCTGATATTATTTGCGTTTCGACTTTGCATTTAAAATTAACCAAAAACAATATTTCAAAATATTAACTGCTTGGCTTCTACTTTTTTTTTTTTTTGTCTTTGTCATTTACTACATTATCATTAGAGATCAAATATGTGATTACATTGAACATGTCCAACGAACAACGATTCTACGACGCTACTTTCCATGAAACATTTGGATACACGACAGACACTTCTGCATATACGACATCTTCATAAAGAACATGCAGAGGCGGAGCTAACTCATGACCAAGGGGGTCAACTGACCCCATAAAATTTAAGAATTCTTGTTTGCATGCTTAAATGGTATATGATGGCTTATTTTGGCTTGTCTTGATTCTTCTAAGTTGACCCCTATGACTCATGTTAAACTATTCCTTTTGACCATCTCTTGCAATTTTTCTTTATTTAATTGATCTTATTTGTGTGCCTCTTTAGTCGTTTTAAGTTTTACTACATAATTTTAATGTCTTACATATTAATTTTTGTTTTTTTTTTTCATTCTTATACATCTTGAGAAACAAAATATTTATATTTCATATATTTTGTATACAAAGATTTAAATATTTCTAAAAATTTATCTATTTTTATGGAAAAACATCTATAAGTTATGGGGTTTGTGAAAATAATACATGATGTTATTTTCAGTTGTGTTTTATTAATATTTAAAAGCCAAAAATAATGCTTAAAATAATCAAAATTTAATTTTAACAATAATATAAGATAAATAATTTAATATTATTATGTAATTTTATTAATATATGACCCCATGATAAAATATTCAGGCTCCGCCACTATGAGCATGCTTTTTCCAAAACACATGAGACCACGACACACGGCTTTACTTTCATCTCTCTGAAACTGTTGGAACTCAATTTTTACAAAGTGGCTCCGGCCAACTTTCCGGCAACTTTTCCGGTGAAGTCCATCACCGGAATGACCTGATAATAGAGTCTTTGGATTCCTTATAATGAGCACTATAAGATAGTGTATTTACATGTAAAAATTGAAGTTATATTGAATGAGTAATTGAGGTCCAAAGTGGTGAGCTTTAAAGCTTATACCAACAAATATAATTTTGTCCTACATTGGAAGTTTGGAAATTTTTCCTCTAGTATATAGTGTTTCACATACAACATAATTCACTAGCTATTGGGAAGGGGAGACTATGGCGTAGGAGATACATGCATATTATGCAAAACGAACCACACGCGCGAGCGCGCCACCGCCGCCGTACCGAGCTGAGCCTATAAAAGCAACACCTCTCTCTCTCATTTCATTTATGCTTTTTATACAAAAAACGCAACAACAAAAACTCTCTCCCATCTCTTCCTTTCTTCTCAAAGTAAGTCAAGAGTATATCGTATTATTTCAAGTTCGTAGATTTCGCTATCGAGTGTTGCGATATCGGTCTCATAGTGATTGTATCCTGCGATCCGCTGCTCATAAAACCGCCAGACTGCGGGAACTAGTTTGGATTACGGAAAGAGATATCATATCTCGTTTTCTAAAACCATCTTTCCTAAATCGTTTTCTAAAGTTCTTTCTCTCTGTTTTTAAATCGGGATTTCGCCCTTGTGAATTAGATGTGATTCGTAGATTTATTGCATGTTCACACACATAGTCTGGGATTGAGTTGTTAGATGACTGAGCCTAGGTTATTAGATGTCACGACATGGTCATGAGCATGTTGATTGATTGTGTGGAGATAAGAGGAAAGGAAGATACGAGTAATTAAGAGTTTGACCTACAGGGCTGGGGTAAATTAATTAACTGACGGTGCTGCTCGACTAAAAGGAAGAGTGTTTGTTGCATGAATGAATGATGTGAAGCATGATGGAGGAATGAGGAAGCATGAATGATTGTTAGAGAATGATGCATGTTAGATTGAATAAAACGCTAGGTTGTTAGATTTTGCATATAAACTGAAAGTGAACAGACTTTGCGAAAAAATGTAAAAAGAAATAATCAAGTTGTTTATCGTCTTCCTTTCTTTGCTTTCATATTTTTGTTATGAAATTAAGTAAGAACTAACGCTAAAGTATCTTTTACTAACCATTTATATCATAAAGATAATATATATACATATATATATAAACAACTCACAAACGAAAATTACCATATCTTAGTCAACTACATTGTAATTCTCTAATCTTATTATATAAAGTATGGTTTTCAAAGTTAATAACTCACGAGATCGTGACACGTGTCAAATTTTTCGATATAAGATTTTGACATGTGTCAAATAAAATTTTCTTTTTTTTTCAAAAAAAAATAAAAGGATAATTATTAATATAAACAGTTTTAAAATGTAAAAAGCTAATTATAAGGAAATTGTACATATATTTCCAAAATAGTTTTTGTTATCTAGCAAACTATACATACATAGAGAATTTATATGTATATTTCCATAAAAATCGAAATTATAAAATTATGCTAAACGTTTTATTTATAAGTTACTAACTGTACAAAAAAAAAAATTAAAATTAGAAAAAAAGTTTCAAAAATTATGTAATCAGTTATTAATCTTATAAGAAAAAAGATAGTAAATAGTCACCTTTATATAAACAAATAGATTGTCTCATATTTTCTCATTAAGCAAACTAATTTCTTAACGATATTATATTATATTAATTATAAAAAATAACTTCGAATCACGATGTTTTTATAAAAATAGCATGTGATATTCAGATCTAATGAATATATGGCAATTGAGGTAAATTAATAATTATGAACGGCGATAGACATAGATTAGAGTTATTCTCGGAGAGGCTTGATCTAATGTCGGAGGAAAAAAAGAAGGTGGAGTAATAAGAAAAGTTGGGGACAGAGGATAAGAGGCGGTAGCAGTGGTGCTGGTGTTGATGATGGGGGTTCAAGTTTGGTGTTGATGATGGGGGTTCAAGCTTGGTGGTGGTGGAGGCGGTAAATATTGATAAAGGTGGTTAGTTGGAATTAGTGAGATTCGGTATTGATGTTGGTGGTGATTTTGATAGTAGTGAGATTTAGTTGTGGTGGTGGGTCAGAGTAGTGAGACTCGGTAGTGATGCCCGACGAATGCGAGAAATTGAGATAGGGAAAAATATAAAATAAAGATATGGTGGTGAAAAAATCCGACGAGATGATGGAGAGAATGAGAAAGAAAGAGGAGTTCGAACAAAAATAAGAGAAATGTAATGAGAGATACATAGAGATTTGAGAATTGCAAAGAAGAAAAAATGAAGAAATTTGTAATGTGGGCCTAAAATGACAAAAGCTATATAGCGAATTGAGGATATCTCATATTATCAATTAAGTTACATGACATGGATATAGACAGTCTCATGTTTCTCTACTTTTATTGTCACAATTTTATTATGACGTTTAAACTTTTCTAAAAAACATCTATATTTACGTAACTCAGACTACATGTTTACATATTATACATATATCGTTCATATATTTACATAACTATATAATTTTATCTTTTCTTATTATCATAGTTTTGTTTCTATCTTGCCCACATTGAAATTATAAGATGTAACACACTCTTCCGATAGATGTAAATAACTTATTAAAATTCAATAATACAACATATGAACATTTATGACTTCATAACTTATAATAAGCAAAAAATTATATAATTTTATAAATAAGCCAATAATTATATTAGATGATTTAATAATTATAATAACATAACTATGAATAATGTTTTATTTTATGCATTATGCTAATAAATCTATATTTTGAAATAATTATGCTGCATTTTCTAAAATATATATGTTTATAGAATTTTAGTTAAGCTTACAAAAATAAAATAAAAATAATAATTTCGACCGGCAACCCGTGCAACGCACGGGTCCATATCTAGTACTAATATAAACCATTAGGCCACAAACTCATAATCACCATATTTTCGTGTACAATATAATTTTCTAACAACACTAATATAAACCAATAACAGCACTGATAAAGGCAGGTGCATTCTTACTTCTTAGGTCC